TTCTACTCGCTGTATGGCATTCTATACTAGAATGAGAAGACTTGTCGCACCAGACACATGCTACAATATCCTTATTTTGTCCTGCGACGATGCACGCGGCTGTAGGTGGTCTATCTTCACGTAATTCTCTAAACTCTTCAAGACCCGCTTTTACAAGTTTCAGTCGCTCGAAACTTTCTACCTCCCTCTTCAAAAACTTGAGTAGGCTATTTAAGTTGTAGCTTTCTTCATCATTCTCGCCATCAGTCCCACGGAACCTTATCCAAGTCTGCAATACCTCACTTGGCAATGCTGATTCGACTAATGGGTATAGCATAGCGGCATATTTGTCAGTCGTTACATTGAGCGTCTCCAAGGATCTTATTTGGGCTGTCAATTTATCATACAGTTCGCTTAAATTTTCCTTCTCTTTCTTCAATACCAACTTCAATAGTTCTCTCACATAAATTTCTATCAATAAGCTGTCCTTTCCAAATCTATACCTTAATTGTTCCAACGCTTTTTTATAATTCTTGCCAGACGGGGGAAAACTTTCAACTACTCTCCTTGCTGCAGACCCTTCTTCCGTTGCCTGAATAAGGTACTGCAACTTGTCATCCGCGTCAATATTTGGATCCTCGTCAATCTTGTGGAATTGTCCCCAAAAACTCAACCAGTTATTTATTTTTCCGTCGAACTTCCTAAATTCAATTATTGGTAATTTAAATTTTCTTCCAAAATCTACAGTCTTTTGTTCTTTCTTGATGGCTCTTGTTTCTACTTCTGACCTTACTGTAACTTCAGAACTACTTTTACTTAACTTGTCTTCTCCTATTGTGTGTTCGTAAAAAATTTTCAATTCTATCCATCTTTTTCTATAGCCGTCTACAGAATTTTGTTCTTTTTCAAACTCATCTATGTCAAAATCTTCCTCTTTCAAGAATACCAGTTGTACCTGATCATCTAATTTAAATAATGCATCCGCCTTTTCTTTCAAAAAATTAAAGTATTTTTCTACTTCTCCGGGCGTTTGCGCTTCACCGGCTTCTGCTACTTCATCAGCAGCTTTCGTAAATAGCCTCCTTGCCACAGTTCGCAACTTCTTAATTTTCTCCATTTTGTTTGCTACTGTGACACACGATTTCCGTTCTATAGTCCTATATATTTATCCTCACACTATTTAAATTCACGGTCGCCACTTGTGGCGAGGATAATCTACTTGACTTATTTAATTTAATACGAAAATCGCAAATTATATTTTACAAGACTTTATTTATTTCGACATATTAAAATAGACAACAATAAATTCGAAAACAAACTAATCTCTTTATAGAAATGTAATCGTCCAGTGCTGCGATCATAGACATAGTATTTGTACCTATGGCTGCACTCGACAGACTCTACTCTATTTCAGAATCACAGACAATTTTCGTGAACGAATGGAATGAGTCATGTTTGTGAGTTCTTTTATCTCCACTTTTTAGATTACCTGTTAAAACAGGTAATCTAAAGTAAACTTGGAAACAATATTACTTTACTACAAAAATTTTGTTGACATTAAAAGAACCTTCTTTGACAGTGTTAGCCGACTAATTTGTAAAGTTGATGAACTTCATTGTATGTCAACCTAAATTTGTCGTTTAATACTTTAAAGTATTGGAAATATAATAATTGAATAAAATTTGGTGTATTTGTTAATTACACATGCTAAAAATGTTCCTCACGCTAAGCAATCTTGATTAAAAATACTCTATCAGTCATTTTAGGTTTAATTTAAACAAAAGTCCCAAAACGAAAATGAAAAGGTAACACTTTTCATTTCGTCAATTTGAGGTTAAAATTTCGAACAATTATATGTCAACTTCAACTTTTCGTTTGAAAGTTTTGTGAATTACAGTAGGCTTGGAGAACTTAATTGTCAAACTATTTTCGAACGAACGAATTCTACGAATAAATCAACAATTTTTGTGAGTGAGTCAGAATATATTTTGATAGATTATATAAATGTTATTGAATTTCACAAGTACCCACATATTTTATTAACTATATAATTTATTATTAACTAATAGTTAGGTTTATAAGTCATGATATATCATAAAACTCACGATTGAGAGCCCATGGTCCTTAGGGCTGCCAGATGACCGGAATTTCTGGGATTGTCCCGGAATTTTTAATGTTGTCCCGTATATAGTAATTAGACCTTATTGTCCCGGATTCCGATAATGTCCTAGTTTCGTAACAAAATAAAGTAATAACGAATGACACCTGCTTGATGTTTTAATTCTGGGGGTGATGGTGGATGGTGATGTACCTAACCTAACCAAACCCCCCGGTTTGATGCTTCATTTTTTCTGGGGGGAGGGTGCAAATGTCCCGGAATTGATAAACCAGCATCTGGCAACCCTAGTGATCCCACCGGTTTGTCTTACTGTTGGGACCACGCTACACCAATATGAGCCCGTGGTCCTACTGGACTCGGGCGACAAATATAGAATCATAAAAACAATTATAAGTTATTAACGTAGTATTGTTAAATACCTAATATTAAAAACTTATTCAAATTACTCTTTAAACTTCAGACTTCTTACCACGTGATTCCCAATTCATAGGTTCGTCGAGAAGAAAAAGTTGGTAAGAATTAGCATGAAAAGCTAATGGTTCACCAAACTTGTTTGAGTTGACTGTATCGAAAATCAAAATTTAACAATCTTCTTAACTGATAGGCAGTGGGGTAGCTAGGGATTTTTCATTTTTCCTAACCATCCAGTAGTAAGTTGAAAGTTACTTACATTCATTCGGAATTGAATTTTTGAACTGTATGGTTATGTTTTTAGTTCCTCTTCCCCTTTAGCCACATCCACACGATAGGTATAATATTACTAGAAAATTATGTGAGAGAAATCCGATACTTGTCTATCGATTAGAAGAAGTACTTAATAATAATTAAATAATAATAGACATTAATATTGATTATTTACTAACATTGCCTAAAAGGCTACTAGTAGTAAGAGATAAAATATGATAGTACAATATCATTAATCTGAAATAACTGTAATTTTGAACAATTTAATAGTATTTAATTCTGTCAATACTTTATTTAGGTCATATATAAAAATATTTATGGCACCGGAATTACATAATAATTAGTGCTCCTACACATATTTGCGAGCTCACACGAATGCATTGCACCGCAAGAACTTCCGATCTGATTCGCATCGCACATTTCTGCGATATTACGACACACTTGGTGTCGCCATTTTAGTTCGCTCTCAGACTTATCTTGTATGTTCGTTTTTGTAGACATGATAATAACAAACTCAAAACCTCTTCAAATGATGATATGTTCATTCTTAAATAAAAAATAAATACATATCTTCTCTGTTCTCAAACCATAGTATTTTCGAGAAAAATAGTTTCCATCAGTGTTTATAATCGTTATAAATGGATGAACCCAAAATCTTCTATTTTCTTCTATTTTTGGGTACATCCATTTTTTTCTGTATCTATTTAACGATAACAGCGGTGCAGCAATCTGTTTGTCACCATTAACTTCATATATCTTTTGAACGAAAGAGGTACCACAAATTTTAATAAAGGTAGCAAATAGTACTAAATTGGCACTTGATCCGACGATATAAAATTATATAATTAAGAGAGTGGTCCCGTGATTTTGACGGTGATGAACTAATACCGATCCTATAAAACAAATTCGAAGGTTACACTGTCTGTATGTCATTCAATTGTTTTGGTTTAATTTTATTTTAAATCTGTTTGATTTTTACAATCATAAATTGTACACAATTTAAACAACGGATAAGTCTGAAGTGGTTTGATTAACAGACTAAACAAATCTGTTGCAGTAACTATATCTAGTGTTAAAAATATAGGAAGTTGTCTCACCGCTGCGGGACCGGCGAGAAAGCGATTGTAATTGGCTATTTTCTCGCTCAAGAAACGTACAATAGATATACATTCCGTGTTAACAAAAGATATGCATTTATTAATAGTTGATGGCTGACTGTTGACACCGCCGGCGAGAACTCGCTCCACCGTGCATCTCTTTTGCTTACTCGGAATGGTTACGCCACTTGCAGTTCCATAATTAATCGTTTTTTTATAATTGTGTTCGAAATATTAATCATGTGCACTAAAACCGTTCTGAAGTCCTGTTTTTGCTTCTTGAGTTTGTGTGCCTGCGCGATGTTCACGCGTTATCTTGATCGCACCGTCGCAGCTTCCGACGACGTTCACGTTAGTGAGTTCTTAATTCGTCGTTGATAGTGCTTCTTTTATGCATCATATATCTCCGTAAAGAATAGAATTGTATTGCCGCGAACTGCACCTTTCAGCCAGTTATACAAATACCAGGATATCTCTTCATCTAGAAGCATCGGGAAATCAGACTGGTAAATGCTTCCTTGATTAATATTACGAACACATACCTATTACAGTTCAAATTTTAAATATATCAACGAACTATATACCTACTCGGTCCTTGTTTAACTTCATACTCGCCACATAATGTATATCTATTGTACGTTTGTTGACTAAACAAATGACCAACTTAAGTCTGAACATCATGTACTCCAACCTTACATTAATAAGAAGCTTGCTTGCACGTGAATAGTCGCCCATTCAAACAACTTGAGGAGCTTTATCATGGTATTAAGTTCTTCGTGTAAACGCATTTATGTTCCGTTCCTGATAACATGTCGTGTCGGATCCAACAAAGATTTTCTACGACATAATTTAACAAAACAATTTAACACTTTATGTTTCCAAAAAATTTGCCAACGGATATTGAAAAGAATAAGAAAATTCAAATAATATATCTATATTCAAATATATAATGTTATAATCATCCAAAAGTTTGATTTAATTTTTGATGCCATTCTCAGAGAGTAAAACGAAAACCGACCATGTCTACTACGTGTCACTAAAGCGTCAAAACAACAACAAATAAATGGCAAACAAAGTTTCAAACAATTTTTGATAAATTTTAAATATATTTATGAGCAAACATGGCTATGGCAGAGAAAAAAAACGAGTACCCGCCGAGTGTGGAAGCGGACCGGAGACTTTTGCCCTTCGATAACTGGGAAGAATACCTGGACTCCTTGATAGAAATCGCCGACTTAAGAAATCTGCGTAGTATCGCTTCGGCTCGTACAATCGCCGCTTTTGGCTATAGGTAACACCAATAATCACATGAACAGGTTCTTATACAAGAACAGTAAGATATATTCGTAACTAGCTGCTGCCTGAGACTTCGTCCGCGCTAACTTTAGTTTTTTGTGTACTCCTCAGGAACCTAACATTAATCCATAACCAATCCAGATAATTAACTTTATGCGAATCATATTCCATCCAAATCCGTTTGAGTAACAAACATACTAACTTTCAAATTAATAATATTAAAAAATTAAAGTAGGTAAATAGGAAGAAGTATAAAATTTTCTAAGTATACGATATTGAGTAGGAACAAAGTCTAAATTATTTATTATTACATCACGTGTTAGCAATTTTCAGAATTAACCATTTAAGGTTCCGAGTCAACAAAGAACCCTTATATACTTATTCGCTTTGTTTGTAAAATTGTGGTATTTCATGAGTAGTAAACTGTACTTTCCCAAAGTAAAAATAATTCGATGTACTGCTTAGAGCTAACGGAGACACCCTCGGAGAGAAGGAGTTTTATACGCGTCGTGCGGTGATTCATGATGTAGTATATCCGAAAATAAAGGCCTACATACTGGTCAGCGAAGGGGCTTCCTTGGACGACCCCTTCAACAGGGAACTGGCGATACGGGAGAGAGCCAATAGAGTTGGAATTTTGCAGGTAGGTATCCAACTACAGAGTTTTCTAATAAAATAATTATCACGGAGGATTATCATCATCAGTCTATAAATGTCCGCACTGTTGAGCCTTCGCCACCTTCCCGATCGACGGTATAGAAAGTCTTAAGAATTTGACCACCACCCAATACATCTATCCAGTATCCCAAACGGGCAACCTTGCGCGTTGTGAAGCACTCACACCTTACACCCTGTATGGCGTCAAACGTCTAAGGCAGTCTAAAAATTTCCACAAACGAAACGACTTTTGGTAATGTCTTAAAAGTGGAGGTTATATCCCCAGAGGGCGATCGAATTAAAAAAAAAAAGTTATGCACAATCTCTCTTAAAAATGTATTGATTACATATATAGTAAAGTTTCACAAATTATTTTTTATAATGATTAAATGGTCTTTTTAGACAATTATATTCGTGCGGCACTTCACGAAAGGCGGATTTGAAATTTCTGGTTATATCGACTACGCTCACCGGTTGGTTTCGGAAAACTGGACGCCCTTCTTCAAATGCAACAAAATGCTATGGCCTAGGGACACTGACTTAGGCTACTATCATTGGCGCCATGGAACAGTTCGGAGCAATATGAGCAGAAATTACAAGGTAGGTACGATATATTTTACTGCTTATTAGGACTTTTTCCAATGGGTAAGAAAATGGAAATGGTTAATAAGCCTCTGCTGGCTATCTGTTTGTCTATCAGTGGCTGTACTTCAATCAAAAGATATTTTTCTTTCACGGGAATAATTATCCCTGACGGTTGCTCCAATCGGAGCGGTAGATCCACTATGGCCTGCCTGTCTTAAATTCTTTTTAAATTCATGAAGGGTACTGGCCCTTTTAAAATCTTTTTGAGACGTTATGTCTCTTCAAATTGCAAACTTTTTTCAAACAAAACAGGTTGACACTGCATCAGTGCTAAGACAATTTTTAATTTTCACATGTTTATATCTATCAATCATATTTAAATAGCCATATATTAATTCAAGGATTTATGCATTCACGCATTCACGCTAAACAACATAGTACTTTAGGTTTTTTTCATAAATGCAATAATGCACGAAATAAAATTTACTGAAATTTTTCTCCTACACTTCGATTCCTCAATATTAAACTGCCTCTTACTGTTCTGGAATTGTGCACTGAACAATTTAATTACATTCTTTCATGGTATGACGGAAATGTTCAATATAAAAAGCAGCATAGCACTCGCCTTGCGGAGCGCGAAATTATTCAAAACAATTTCGGTATCGAATCGAACCGAAGTTTCGAATCTCGCATAGTTGTTCAATATTGCCATGATACGTAGTGTCAAGTTATTTCGTCGGTACTCCGGGAATCTTCACAAATCTTTATCTATAGTTCTCATATGGATGTGAATCACATCCAATACATATAACGATACTAAATCCTTTTTACTTTAGTTCCTACAATTGTTCTGTTTATTTAATGAATTTATCGTGCTTTGCAGCCTATAATGGACCCAGACAGAGGTTTATTGTTCCAAAATCGCCATGACCACAAAATCATTTGTCCAGACCCTGAACAGGATCCTGGACAAAACACCAACAAGCTAAGAATATATTCTCCACGTTATACACAAATAGAAATTTATGACCACGTCGTAAGGCGGAAAAGTTAATTGTTACAGATATAGACCAAAGTCCTGTATTTCCTCATTTGTGATCTAAAAACTATAAAAATTATAGCAAACGGTAAAGAAAAAACGGTACTAGTTATTCACCAATGCTTTTTTTGCATTTTTTAATCATAAGCATATAACGTTACAAATTTTATTTTATACAATTTTTTATACGTGAATTTTACACTTCAATCAGAAAGTTGGTATGAATAACATGAATACTTTGAAAATGTCTTTTATTTCTTAATTGTAAATGTGCTGAACATCATTTAAAAATATTTTTATAATGTCTTATTACAAATTAAAGTAATAATATTAAAAATACTTAATATATGAAATAAGTAACCTAAATTATCTACTAAATGCAAGATAGTAAAATTAGTGTTTTAGCACTTACTTTAAAACAAAATTTTGGTGTAGGTCGGTAACAAAGCTTTTGGTTTTAACAATTAAACACGAATATTTTGGATGTTGTACGTCGCGATATTATTACATGTGGAGTTTGTGCGAGATGCAAAATGGATAGGTAATTCAAATATATGATGCAACATACAACAATAAATTAGGACTGATTATAGTACCTACATAATATTCTTCATAATAACGCAGTCAGCATAAGACAAAAGACCTACGGAGAAACTAAACACTAGCGTAAAGGGAACGCACTGCAAAAGACCTATTTTCTATGAAATGGGTTTCAATTTTGAAAGGTGCTAGCATACTATTCTCTTTTTAATTGTTAATAAATTATCACACTTAGAACAAATTCAATATTATTATTCACTGTAAGTTCTCATTAGTATGACTAGACTGATTATGATTAATGTATATTTCAATTTGGTCTATATAGTGTTATATTACTGCATTCACACATAACGTTTATTGGATTTTGTAAAGTTCAATGAATCCCAATGATAAATCCGCTACTGTGTGATAAGAGAATTCATAGGTAAAATCTACGGTAAAATTACCAAATTTGAGTGCACAGAAGTTAATATATTCGTATGTATTTTCATTTATTTACAATATTATGTAATATTCCTGCTCCTTTCTTCAAGCTTGAGATTGTGAAGATGCCAATCGAGTTTTTCTCGCGGATTCTCTTGAGGCACTTTGAACTTCGGCAGTACGCAGAGTTATACCAAATATATCTTCATGATATCTATTTTCATCCTGAAAGAAAAAAGCACGTAAGTACTAATTAAATTACTGCATCTTAACGTGATACTAACCTAGTGATAATTACCATTAGTTCCAAAATAAAATCTTCAATTTCAGACTCGGTCATTACAGCATGCTTTTTAATAATAGCTTTCAGTTTCTGTTGTACTTCTTCCGCCATTTTGCAATCTCCACATACGTAGATATGGCCGTCTTCGTGTAGTAACATTCGAGTTACTTCTTCACCTTCATCTTCTAAAAGAGCTTGAACATGTTTCTGCGAAAAAAAAAATTTTATTAGTTTCTGATATTGTTAGGACACACTTATGTTTTTCTTAAAGGGATTTACCTTTTCAACGCCCTGTTCTCTGGATAGAGCTAACATAACTTTGCTCAGAACTCCATCTTGCAGAGCTTCTTCTTTTTCTTGCTTATATAAATCCATACCTCTGTTTCTGCATCCGAAAAATAAACAAACAGATCCAGGTTCGTCTTTTCCAGAGTCGAGATTCTTAATTTGATGTCTTCTGTGATGCCAAAATCCTCTGAATGGTGCAATACCAGAACCAGGGCCGATTAGGATAAGTGGTGCCGATATATCTTTAGGCAAGTGGAAGTTTGGTGCACTGTAAAAAGATTTTTATATGAAATATAAAAAAAAATAAACAAATTTCCTTAAAAAACCAATAATCTTCAGAACATACCGACGTATAAACACAAGTAATTGGTCACTTGGCTTTGATTCTTTTAAATAGGTGGAGCATACTCCATAATGTGTGGGTCCTTGACCATCTGCAAAATCATAAAAGGCCAAAATTATTTTCCTGTCTAGGATATCGGTAAGATGTTAATGGCATATTTAGTGATAAAACTGTACCCACTTTGTGTTTTATAAGTTACGACTGCTACAGTGATATGTATTCTGTTTCGATGTACTAAAGGCGATGAAGATATGGAATAAAATCTTGGCTGTAGTCGTGGTAACAAGGCTGCAAGTAATGATGCTTGAGGTTGACATGAAGGGAACTGTTCGAAGACTTCAGCCAGATGAGGATAGTGAAAATGTCTCCAATCGTCATACTTGTTGGAATCCTGAAATGAATGATAACTACGATAATGAAAACCCTTTATGCTAAATGCGCACGTATTTAAATGCATAGATAATTTTAGTACAAAAATGTTACCGTAATTAACTCTTTCATTTTACTAGCTTCATTTTCATCACTGCATTTACTAGCGAGATATTTTAAAACTGTTGTTGATGGTGGTGTAGTTATGTCCAAAAATCTTGTAAATAAATCTCTAACTGTAGCTGATGATAAACGATCCTGTTGTTCCCAAGTTTTCCTAACACCTGTGAATAACATTAATAAATTTATAATGAAAGGTCAGTTAAAAAAACATGTTAGAAAAAAAATGTAGCATGGTGTAGAGCTTTAATTTCTGGAGTTAAAAACAATCTTATATGAATACTAGCTGTCCCAGCGAACTTCGTACCACCATTAAAATAGGGGTTGGTGGTAGAAGGGTGAAAATTTAGGGTTGTATGTATTTTTGTATGATGTATCATAAAAAAATAAAAACAACAAATGTTGTCTTAAAAATAGAAAAAAATAAGGGTGGACCACACCCTTAACATTTAGGGGGATGAAAAATAGATGTTGTCCGATTCTCAGACCTACTGATACTGATATGCATATACAATTTCAAGAAAATCGGTTAAGCCGTTTCGGAGTAGTTCAATTACGTACACCGTGACACGAGAATTTTATATATTAGATAAATAAAATAGTATTTTCTATTTCCTGAACTCGATTTTGACTAGGCTTATAAGAATAAAGAATTCAAAATTACAATATTGTACCTGTAGGTGTGAGTGTTTCTTTCATAACTTCCAATTGTACTGTTAAATTGCATTTTTCTAAATTAAGTCTGGTCAGTACGGCATCAACAATTTCTTTTCTATTACATGCCATTATTCCTACGTGATCGCCAGGATCATATTTTATTTCATGCTGAGAACAAGATCAAATAGATATTTATAACCGAATTAAATTAGGATTGAGTAAACATATTTTCTATATATTTTAGTTAAGATGTACTTACTTCAAGTTCCATATCAACAAATATAGTGGCTCTATCAGCAGTGTAATCTCCTAGCAGCTTATTTTCTTTAACAGTGCAAGGTATTAATTGTTTTCTAAAACTAGATTCAAGGGCACTCTTCAGTGTTATTCCAGTGTGAGCTTTGCCAAACCTGACCGTTTCTTCCGTTAAGGGCATACTTCCTAAGGCTTTCTTTGCATCTATAACCATATCGTTTTCATCTAAGCAAAACGTTTCACATGCTACCTAAAATCAATTAACCGTTTAGGGTAAATACATACATAAGATCTTATTGCTACGTATTAGATTAGGTACATTTGTTATAAACTCACATGAAAAATGTTGGGTGACCAATTCCGGAATTGTTGTTCCTGGCCATACATTTCATCTCCACATACTAAGTCTAAAAGTCTCTCCCCACCTAAATCTCCTAATATTTTATCTACGGTTTTACCAAAATTACAGAATTTTGGATATGCGCTGGAGCCTAAAGCGAATACTGCAAAGCAGATGTTACTCAGGGGACCCAAATGCTCCGCTGATGATGAACCCGCAATACTGCCTGTTAAACAAAACATTATTTATATTTTTCATATTATGAATTTGATTTTGCTAGATAATAAGTAAAAATAAAAGTGTTACTCACTTTTATTTGATTCTAATCTAGTCAGCTGCCTTTTGTATTCAATACTTGGTGTCATTAAACTATTGGTTCTCATTAATGATTTTGGCGTAGGAACTTTCATATTGCTAAAAATAACGGCACTAGTTAATTCATATTTCATACAGGGTTTATTTTAAAGTACCTATTCATAGTTTAAACATACCCTGAAGCGATATCTCCAGTTGTGTCGCCACGATGGTTCGCTTCATGATAAAACATTTTAAAGAGATGGTCTATAAAGTCCTGCAATAAGGCACATACTTAATGAATAACATAGTTTTAAATTGCGATCTATTTTTCTTAACAGTAAGGTTTTATACTTACTATTCCATTTGCAGGAGGTTCGCCGTTTCCAAATGTTGAAGTCACTATTAACAATAAAGTCTCGTGTTCTATTGAAAACATATCGTAATCAGCCATGCAGTGCACCTGTTTTATAATTTAAATTTCATTAGTTTTTTGATCAGCATTTCCCATATATATTATATAATTTAACATCTTTTTTCATAATTATCTTTTCGTTTTGTTTAACTAATTCCCGCTCTAAAATTCTACCATGGAGTAGTGGAGGTGTTAACTTTTGTGCGAAACTAACGACTTGTGATTCTCATTGAATAGCTTAACGGTTTCACGCTTGTCAGAGTTTTGGTCTTAAATTGGATATGTTAACTCACCTGCACGTTAAAGGCGTGCCCGAAAATACTGCCTAGCTCCTTAGCATACTGTTCAGATTTGCCTGTCTCAGTGGCGTACAGTATAGTGGCCTTTATTCGCTTGGAAAGCGCTCTGCCATATAGCTTGGATGTGAACCTGATGGCGCGTGCTATTTGAATGAACCTCTTCTTTCCAGTTTTATTTTTTATGGTTGGCTTAGACCACTGATGCGTCTTCCAAGCAGGCTCCTAAAAGAATATATATTATAATTCAAGAAACTGACTTTATGAATACTTACTTGCCTAGCTATGTGATTTGGCAAAGCTGAGAAACTCCTTCACATAATTATTCGTAAACAAAGTATAATTTATTCAAATGTTAGTCATAATAAAATTGAATATTCGGAAGGCTTTAAACTGTTCCTTGATTATCGTTAAAGTTTATTATAGAGTTAACATCTGCGTGAACTTTATTTACTACTATTGACCAACACGGCCGACATGTGGCCAAGGGGTGTAGGCATACACAGCTTTCCCTTCAGTCGATGAGAACGTACAAATTAGGCATACGAACGATACACGTGTGCAGAAATTGACGATTTATTGTGTCATTGTTCATGTGTGAGTGTCGTAGTTGCAGTTGGGTTTTATATGCGCGTACGTTTAACTGCGTTTGTGTGCATATTTCCCCCATATACTTATCCCAAAATACAGAATGATTTGTATAGCCACGGCTAATCCCTTCCGTGTTGCACTAAGTTTACTACTATAATTATTCATTCTCAAGGAGTTCAATGGTGCAGTAGTTAGCGAGTTCGGTCAGCGATCGTACTATACCTTAGATTAAAACAAAAAGGGAAAATAAGGTACGCTCATACTAGCATAAAATAAAATGTGCTCCGATTCAACTACATAAGCAACTTTCACACACGCACACGTCTGTAAATAAACATTCCAATCGCGCGAGCGAGACAGAATTGTACGCTTCAACGCAGCGTCAGCAAAACGGTGAGTTAGATCATATTTATGGTCCCAACTTACTACTCAAAATAATCATTAAACATAGGTGTCATTCAGGATCACTAGCTTCGGTCCCGAATGCCGCCTCAAAATTTTAATTTATTAAATCCATGTCCCCATTAGGACCAGTGGTCCCGGTCCCAAATGACTACCGACTCTCCGTGTCCAAGTACACAGGGCTGAGCTGTATTGTTGTCCTTTTATTGATAACAAAATGGCGATTACGTTAATAACATTCAAGAGAAACCGTGATTTTTGAGAAAAAAATGTTTTTACAATTTTACGAATAAAAAGTGTTGCCGAGGCATTTATTGATTTTAAACTATTTGTGTTATTTATAAAAGCATCGAAGACATAGCTATATCTTTATATTACAGAATATACGCAATATCATTAAATTGTGTGCACATGCAGCGTGTTTGAATGCATAATTGTGACTAAAGCAACTTGTGCTCATGCATCACAATTTCAGAGGATCACTTTTGAGTCGCGAGTGCCCTCTATCTAGTATCTTCCCTTTTTGTTTTAATCTAAGGGTAGTTCAGCAACTTTCGTACGATGATCAGAATGGGTGACCAAAAGGTACTTTTTTTAAAATTTATTGTAAATGGATACATTGTCCTTAAGCCTCCAAAATGTACTTCCTAATGCAGTGTAGCCAGGTCCGATTTAATCGGGAGGGGTTACAGATAAAAGCAGTAGATGTATGGAAAGAACTGCAAGAAAAAGCAGTAATTCAGGGGCCCTTTTTCCCGATTTGCACCCCATAGAATTGGTAAATCAATATAGGCCAGTGACGATTGTGTTTCTATGGCTTCCGCCGCCCCTCAAAACTCGTTTTTTTGTTATAAAAACATTTGTTGTATATTTAAGGTTACTTACATTCGGTCGATAAACACAACTCTAAGAAGAACAGGAGACATTTCAGATAAACAGGAGATCATCTGTAAAATCAGGAGACCTGGCAACCCTGATCTTGTGCTTCGTCGTCATTATTTGGAAGGCACATTGTTCTCATAATGACGTTAATGCCTTATGTTTAATTCCTATGAACTACCTTTAATTTAATATTGCCTTGAATATATTAAATAATAATATATATTTACCTGATAATCGTATGAAGGCTTGATATAATACAACGCCATTTCTTGGTGAAATACCGCAGTCAGTGACCCTGACATTGGGGGCACAATCCATACCCAGTCAGCTGGGCACCCTCCCCTGTAACAAGGATGCTATTTTAAACACTGCTCATCGATTTTCAGATTCAGTTAAAAAGTTACGAAGCTATATTAAAATTAGTAACTTATCATATAACTAGTGGCTGCCCGTGGCTTCGTCCGCATTAACTTATGTTTTTTTGAGTATCCTACTTTAACTTTAATTTTAATATAAAAATACTTACAGAAACCAAACACTTTTCGGTATAATAAGTCTCATATGTCTCAGTCTAGGTCATAAACTATAAGCGTATCAAATTTCATCCAAATACGTTCAGTAGTTTTTCCACGATTGAGTAACAAACTTTCACATTAATAATATTACTAGGATACTGCTTAAACTATATACTGCCTAATTTATTTTTACACATTAATTAAATACCTCGGTAATTATTTTGAACTCCTAATAAATATCACTAGTAGGTAAGCCGTCTTGATTTAGCACAGATGCAATTTACTTATATGCATTTTAAAATGTTTCATATTCGGTTTAATTTTTCTTTCAATTTTCTATAGGAAAATTTATTAAATTTCTAGACAATTAGATAAGCTACCGGTTCATTGCAGAGCTAATCAAATATATAAATATCAAATATTTAAAAGGTACGAAAATCCTTAGGTAAATGTAAATGTAAAACGTAAATAAATGATGACAACTCATTTCTCTTCAATGGTATTTACCACACATTAGGCAATTGGTTCAAGTGTGTGCTCTCAAATGTTGGGAATTTAGTTTGTAATCAGACCACGTGTAACAGAGACTTGCTCATACTTTGACATGGTTTTGGTAAATTATGGTTATGACTTAAAAAAACTATTGGACTATACAAAAGAGTTGTAGTTCTTGGGTTTCCAATTTTAATAGGATTTTGTTTTGTTGGGTAATTTTCCTCATGTGAGATGACAGACCGACTATCAGCGTACGTATCTGCACGTATCACTAACCTTCAATGCATAACAAGTTTATGAAAACCGGCCAAGCGCCGGTAACATTCTCGCACGGTACGGGGCCTGTACCAAATAACAAGCTCATTAACATTTGTAATACGGTGATTATTTACGAAAATTTTCACGACTCATATCAAGCTCATATCTCTTTATTTTTATAACTTTTATTAATTTCTTTTGTTTTTTATTATGCTGCAAAAGGAATGCACATATTATAATATAAAATTTTAATCTGCCTACCCATGAAATACAACAAGCTAACAGCCGGACGGATGGATAAGGCTTATTAATATTAACTCTTACCAAAGAGTAACCAGTGGCGGGGCAAGAGCTAAATTTGATGTGGGCAAGACAGATTTCGCGAGGCCCTGTTCTGTGGCGACCTGAAGACGATTTAATAAATTAAAAAAAAAATCGCTTTTAAGAAATGCATAAAAATTTTTGAGGTGCGAGGCCCCTTGTACCGCGAGCCCGTAGGCGGTGGCCCACGTCGCCCACGCCTTACGCCGCCTCTGAGAGTAACCATACAGAACCCTAAAAATTGAAGTGATACGTGCTCTATCTAAACAAACGTCAACATTAGAGGAAACTAATAATATTGAATAACTTAAAAACAAGCATATTACTGGTGAATGAATCCTAAGAAAATATATGAAAAGTTGCTGTTAGTTTAAATGCTCACGAAAAGCAGATTTTAACGTTAGTTTACATGCTCATATGCATATAAATTATTTGCCATGTTCATCTCATATAGAGTATACCATCTTTGATCCTCCAGTCTCTTGAAGAAAATGACGTTAATATAAAAGTAGATCTTTGATTTTGGTCAATTTTACATCTTGGTATAAATTTTTCAAAAATTAATCTAAAATTGTACCTACTTAAAAAAACAGACTCATCAAAAGTAATAATAATAATATTTCCAACACTCACACCAATTAGCCTAGCCCCAAAGTAAGCACTATAAGGCTTGTGTTATGGGATACTAGGGTAACGGATAGAATACATATACTGTACATATATATAAGTATATTTATATAGAAAATACATATTAAACATCCATGACTGGAGTACAAATGATCGTATTCATCACACAAACATCTGCCCCCACCGGGATTTGAACCCAGGACCTCTCGAGTCGGCGACACCATGAAACCCGGCGTACAAACCACTCGGCCACGGAGGTCGTAAATCGAATAATAAATTCAGTAAAATATCTGAAAATTTGAATAAAATCTAGGGAATCTGCGTAAAAAGAAATAGACATTATTACTTAGACACAATTTGTCATTGACTGAGAGATGACATACTATTGGTTTAAATTCATTTCCTTGATTCTGATTGGTTGTTTGTATCAAAAATCACGTAATTTCCTTGGTTAATAATTTCAAGATGCACACATACTATATGTTTTTTTTATATGTTGCCACTAATTTAATTGAATTGAATTTAAATGTTTAAACGACATCGTTATGTGGATATACAAGTGGATAATAAACTACATTTAAATTTTTGATAAATTCTGCGTACCTATATTTCTACACACAAAATGTATGGGAAAAAATTGGACAGGGTTATATGGAGAAAAGAATGGATCCTTTTCAGTCGAAGCAATCCCTAATTTAGAATCACTTGTCGATTTAAAGAAATAAATAATAATAATGATCAGCAGTCACAAGCACACAGAAAACAAAAGCGTAATACGAAAGGGACAGAGAAAAGAAGACATTAACAATTCAAAATAGATTCGGTTTTGGCCAAATAAGCAGTTGTCTCAGTATAAGCTTCCTTATTATGTAAATCCATGAGTTTTATTAAAAGTAACACCATACTAAGTTCTGCTTAACTTTAAGGCAAAGGTTACACTTCAAATAACCTCACCCGGTGTTAAAAGAAAGCCACTTGTTTAATGCACAGGTTCTAGCTTATCTCAAAGTTATATTTTTAAATATGTATGTATTTAAAGTAAAGTGTAAGTGTCCAGGAAAGTGTATAGGAGAGTATGAAGTTTTAGTCAAAAAGAAACTTGAAAGGGTTTACGTACCTGCTCTTATTTTCATTGTCCAAGTGCTTCATAAACTGCTCGGAAGCGGAGTGGTGGTCGACAATGGACACGTTGTCCCGATGGAAGCTGTGTAACACGGCAATGTTCACTTCCACCAGAGCTCTGTCTCGCCACAGGGACACGTAAGAGTTCGTGTCTAGCCCCATCTTCATAGCCACGCTCTGTGGAAAAACATTACCATTAAAACTCGAAGACGATACAAGAACTTGGACCTTTGAGAAATTTTAATGTATGTATATGATATAATTTCCCGAGTAAAATGCATATAATAAGGCTAAAGATTTTTTCACTTCATTAATTTCAATGACGATAGACAAAAGCAATCAACACTGTTGCCGAAATATTGGAAATACCCTTAAAAACAACATAAATTACTATAATGTAAGTTAAAAACAATAAAAGTGTGATTTTTGTTAGCCTTTTTTATTAAGAAGATATACAAATAAGAGATGTGTAGTTACAAAGTTGAAATTGATAATTTGACTAAATTACTATTACAATAAAGGTAGCACGCAACGTATGCTACGCATTATGACATTTAAACTACAAAATTTTGTATGAAGATATATGACTTGGAAACACAGTTGTCATACGCAACGTTTCTGAATTTGATGGTGAAATCTCAATGCATGTTTACCTCTATGATGTTTAATCGATTAGAGTCACTCAAGTTGCGGCATCCAATCTCGGTGCCCATATACCACCCGTTAAAAGCAGTCGCGGTGAACTGCAAGCCGCCGCAGTCAAGACTCATGTTCGAAACCGCTGGCAACGCGTACCATCTCAAGCCCAAATCCTTGAACCATTCGTATCTGTAAAGGAAATAGACTTAAATATAATGAGTACTAGACTACACTTTTAAAGCACGAGCTACATAATTGACTTTTTAGGACTAAGGTTCCTTATTGCATCATCATATTCGCCTATTAATACCCCCACTGCCGTGGAACAGACCTTCCCTCTAGATCAAGGATGGGCAAACTACGGCCTGCGGGCCATCTTCAGACCTCGAATAGTTGAATTTCGGACCATCAAACAATAATCAAAGGCAAATCCCACCGACCGATTTCACCGAACAAAACATTGCCATTTTGGCACATATTCCGAAAAGGACCACCCTACTTCCATAGAAAGAAGTAGTAAAAAAAAATGACCCGCCAAAGTATTTGTTAGTAAATATTGGGTCGCTAGGAAAAAGGTTTGCCCATATCACTGCCTAGATGGAATTGGGAGATTGGGCCGAGACCCACCATGCAGATGTAGAATCAACGGCTTGACGGGTTCTCCGAAGCACGGGGAAGATCGAGGTCCAAGATATAAGGTCTTATAACCGTCCATTGAGGAAGTTGTTTAAATTACATACATTAACGCTTACACTGACCGACGACTAGACGACGGAAATATGAAGGTTTCAAAATGTTATTTTACATACTATGGTTTAATATTATGGTTCAATGAAATTTGTATTTATTTATTTATTAGCCACACCAACAGTATACTCATACAAAATGCATAAAAATAGTTCCCGATGTGCATACTTTTGACATTTATGATTATCCTACAAACATCCTTCATCATCGTCAAAAATTACATAATAGCGATTATAAATGTGACTCACTTGGGGTGCTCCATAGGAACTTCCATGACGATCTCTCGCGGTATATCGAAGTACTCTGGATCCTTGCCGTCAGCTGACAGCACCAGAGGAAGGATGTCCCATGCTGTGTATGGCGGTTTCCAACCCAGTTTTATGCATATCTGTATAACATAATATTTTTTTAAGTTTACAATATTCAAATCTAAAGAAAATATAACTAGAAAAAAATCCACGTGGACGAGACAGCAGACGGGATTCCAATCCGCACCCTTCGCTATCCGGGCGAATGCACTGACCAATAATGCTACCGCGGCCCTGATGGCCGCGTCGTTGTTGTCTGTCCGTCCGTCTGTCAAGACCGTTTTTCTCTGGAACGCGTGGAATTTTTACTAGTTATATAGGTATTTTCTTTAGATTTAAACATCAAACAGTTACATTCTTAAAAAATAAAAATTTTACAGTATTTTTTTTTAGTAGTTTGTGATTTGATGATGAGGATGACTTTTGGTTAAGGAGCAGATTCATGAATAGTTTAAAACGAAGCAGGCTAAATAGTCACGCTATTCTACTGGAAACTATAACTTAACACTAATATAATTTGAAGTTAAGTCCTACCTATATCCTTCACGATCAGAGAAAAACTATTTTTTAAACTCAAATTACTTTGAGTTTCTTAGAAGCTATGATTACCCTCAGCATGAACTAATATCGATTTCTAATAGTTGAATTCGAGCTTGGTACACGTCAAATACCAAAAGTTTTGTATCTGTACTAATATTATAAAGCTGAAGAGTTTGTTTGGTTGAATGCGCTATGCTCAGGAACTATTTCTTTTTTGTGATAGATACCCCATTTGTCGAAGAAGGTTATAGGCTATATAACGCGGAGCATCGATGAAAAATGTTGAGAAAACGGAATTAAATTATTCCATTTGAGAGCTTTAGTTGCGTGCGCTGCTTAAATGGTAAAAGTTACACAAAAATCACGTATGACGGAATTGTTCCCTTTATTGTTGTATAAAGGTTCTATGAAAAGTCCGTAATAGTTATACGCCCATCTTTTAAAGTTTGACGCACTATAACCTTGTTCTTCAAATTGAACATATTCATCGACTGTTATGCGACACGAAGTTCGCCGGGTTAGCTAGTGTATAATAATTATGTGGTAGGATGAATTTATAAATTTCGAATTTTCTTAAAAATCCTAGGATTTTGCGAAAACGCGGATATAATTGGACAATGGCGATGACATTTTTCAATCTTACAGAAAAAATATAGGATTTTTGCAAAAACGCGAGTCTCCTCAGTAACATTACAAAAAGAATGACAGACAGGCACCGAATGCACTCGCAGCGTGTATTCACGGTTTGTGACTGAAGCTTAATTATCCGCGTTTTCGCAAAATCCTTAGAATTTTCGCGAATATTCGATTTATCAAGTCATCTTACGACATAATGTAATGCCGTACTTCTTTTCTGAATTGAATCATTAAACAGGTGAATGCTTTAACATGCCACTAAAATCCACATCTGCCTATTTTGTAATCAACTAGGTATCTACATCGTAGCTCACCACCGCAAATTACCAGCCGCGTAGGCCGGCTCCGGCAGTTTGTGGCTGCTAGTGGCTCGTATATGCTCAGCTTTATACAGTCTATTGCTTTTAGTTTTGACGCCTACAACCTTACCTGAATAATGAATAGTCAACAAAAAAGTATTGAAAATCTGACTAACTGAAACATAATGTTTGGGATCCTAATTTTTTAAATTTATTGTTTTGTCAATTTATTCGTTGAACATGCAGAAACATTGTTATTTATGGATGGTTGTAACGCTGAATAATAATGATGAAATGATAGAAAAATGACAAAAAAAATTGTATTTTTTGTTTTTGAAGTGAAAACTTCTTTAATATCGTTGTGGCTTGAGATTCGATGAATAGAAATTAGAGTATTTAACACAAGATAGGCATCCGTAATTTTATCATTTATCAGTCAACACCAAATCGTTCGTTGGTTCGATCCTGAGCTTGGTTATTATTTTTATTGTTTGCTTTTTCTTTAATTACGATATTATTTAATTTTCGGAACAATTTAAGTATAGAATATTTAAATTTGGCCCAGTATTTTACAATACATGAATAGTTAAGTATTAAACGTTTGGTATGTGCCTAAGTTGTTTATTAATACAGGCTTGGTTAAATCAACAATCCTTACCTTTCCTATGTTTGCAATTTTTTTACAGTATTTTTTTATAAATAAATATTTCGGAATAAAACCTTGATAAGAAAAATATAACAAAAGAAATAAAATAAAAATAGCTGGTAATAAATTTAGCCGCTGCCTAGCGGCTGTAGGACTTTTACGTGTTCACATTTTTGTAGGTTTTTAATTGTAACGCAAATAAAACTATGATCTTTACACATCATTGACATGGGTAAATCTTAAGAAACATGTGGATATATATAACACTTTAAGATTAAATAATGAGAAAAAAGTGTTTTCTACAAAATTGTGGTCATTCCGGTTGAAGAGATCATTGGGTCTGAGAGCACTGCATTTTTATTTCAAACGCCATCTACATATTTTGCCCACTAAAGAGACCACAAGCAGCGATAAGAATGCTTTCTAAAGCGTGCTAATGAGCAAAAAACAGGACCGCCCACAGAGGGCAATCAGTTGTCCTCGGACGTTTGACTGAAAACCTTTTAAAACACTCAAGTGTCATGGGACGTTTGGGAGGGTACAAAGCTTGAGAAAAGGCATCAAAAGTATTGTAACAACAGTATATATCAGGCGTGCTTTAAATTATCTAACCTTTTAAATAGTTTGCTTCCTAAGATTGAGCGTGTGATCGTTTACGTTTATGAAACTTGGTTTCTAAGTAATAAAGCTTATTTATGTTTGCGATAAATATAAATATAATTATTTATTAATGTTTCATTTAAAGTTAATAATGTCTTAAAACATACCGCACATTTAAGTTTTCTTCTTTTATTAAGCTATTATTTATTTTTCGAAACAATTTAAGTATAAAATATTTAATTTTGACCTAGAGAGTTGAATTTTAACACAGGTGTTGTCTTTAAGACGTATATTTAGTCATGAAGGACTTTTACGTGTTCACGTTTTTGTAGGTTTCACTTCTATCGCATGTGAACGGTGCATGTCTTTTTTTATCAATTTGGCAGATATTTTCATAATTTTAATATATCTATTGAGAATACAAATAATAATGTAAACGAACGGGCAGACATGTATCGAATGGCATTCTTAGGTCACGAACCCCTAGAAAATATATTATTTTTCTTTAAGGACACTTAAACAAATCATCATGATAATTACATTAATTTTTGTTATTAGCGGAATTGCTACCATGTTCTTGATTTTTGCGAATCCCCGATATCAGTTACATCTTGATCATGGCGCTTGTAACAATGCTTAAATATCGGGGACTTCCAAAAAACATAGTACATGATAGGATAGCCATCCCGCTAATAACAAAAATTAATGTAATGTTAGTGACCACTAAAGTATAAATCAATACTCCCTTATTAAACATGGAGTAAGATTTGACTAGATACGCCGTGCTTTATTCATATCACATACGGTGCCATTTGTAATTCAATAAACAGAGATAAAACATAGAGTAACTTTTCCAAGCATATTGTTCGTTTATTAATGAGGGGTCAAAAATTTAGACACGATTTTAAACCTTGTTAGGAAAATGTTGTATAACATTGGTGTCGATACTAGCGTGATTCTCAAAAGTAAATGTAAGATCAGTCAATAACTCAGAACGGACTAAGAATTGGAATTTGGCGCTATTGTAGCTTTTATTCAGCTCAAAAATACTTATACAACGATTTAACTAGCTAGCTAGCTAGCTATCTGAGCTATTGGCAGGTGGGACCAGATTTCATACAAACTCTGGCATCATTCTTTAAGTTTAGCTTTAAAGAATCATGCCAGAATCGACCCCACTGTTTTCTTAAACTCGTTTTGGACGCATTTCTAATTTATTTGTGGTAATAAGTTAAATGCCACACCTCTGTGAATTCTACTTTGGCTGGGTCCCCTAGCACTGTACCGTCAGGCTGTCGGTATCCGGCATAACTTATGAGCTGAGAGTTCCAAATCCTGTAGTCTCCCTTGCCTTCTGTTCGCTGCGGGAATATGGTTATTGCTGACCTGGTAAAAAATAAATTATATTAGTTCTTCACGTCAAATACATTTAAAATAAGTCCTAAATAAAAAAAAAGCCTCACTAACCACACAATCATACATAAAAATAGAAAAAAAATCTCATCTCGTGAAATAACATATAGGTAGTCAATTTGAGATTTTTCGCACTTGTATTAGGAAGTATCGTGCTGTGTAACTAAATCGTCATCAGCCTATCAATGTCCACACTGCTGGCTGGGGCACAGGCCTAAATAAAGGGGATATTTTATCATTAGGTCAAAGAAATTAGGCTATGCTATGCTACATCTCTTTGTGGTCTCATACTCGCCTTGTGGTCGATCATTGCGAATGTTTCTTAACTTCAACGATTGCAAAACAAATACGCTAAATAACAAATCGATCTTCTTTTAAGTAATGTCTTACACTATTGTTTCAGATTTCGTTACGACTTTTACAGGCTCTTTTTATACAAGACGCAGCAAATTATTCCACCACAAGCTGATATTAGTGTCAGTGGTCTATGTATCGCGCTATGATGGCTTATGCGGCAGAAAAAAGTGACGTACTAGCTATCCTCTCTTGGCCGCCTTGAGCCTAATTCCTTCTCCTTGTCGGCTTAAGCCCAATCTCCTACCCCGTCAAGCGACAGAAAATTGTATCATTCTAGCTACCTTACCCTTTGCCAGCTTGAGCCCAATCCCCTAACCCGTGAAGCCGTAGAAAGCGGTGCCGTTCTAGCTATCTTCTCCTTGCCGGCTTGAGCGTAGTTCCCTACCCCGTGAAGCGTGAAGCCGTAGAAAACAGTGCCGTTCTAGCTATCCTCTCCTTGCCAGCTTGAGCCCATTCCCCTACCCCGTGCAGTTTCGGAACCCCACTTATCTTGTACCAAAAAATAATGGTATTTTACTGAAGCCGTCTAAAATTTTAATTTTCAGGTACCCCAATTCCAAAGCTATCCTACCTGTCTTAAAAACAAATATTTTTATTTTATAATATGCCTGATAAAGACATCCGTTTTAAATATAAAAAAATAATAAGTGTTATAAAAGGCAAGTACCTAGATTCTGTAAGTCACTACATTACTCGCTTACATTAATGTAAATATTAATATTACCTTATGTTCCCCTTATTCGTGGCATATCTGATGTGGTCGCATAATGCCTTAAACATGCCAGTGGCATTTGTGACTTCTCTGCAATCGAACATCTGAAGCAAAAAGTAACTTACTTTTAACTTTTGAAGCTTAATTAAGCTCTCTGGAGCAGACGATGTGGTTTTTCTGCTCGATCGTTTTAGTAATTTGAAAATTCTCGATGTTGACAATAGAAAATTATTTTTTCTTTGAGTACGATACTTTATCAAAATTCCGAGACTTTTCTGTTTTGTAATGAATATAAGAAATCATCTGAATGATATTAAATTAGGCTTTAAGTTCATCGTGGTACTTTCAGGTATTAAAATTAAAAAAAAAATGCTAAGTTGAGATTTCTACATTATATATTATGCATATTACACATAATAAATCTGTTAGGTAGGTACTCGTACTCTGCAAGAATATTCGAAGTTGAGTTGATTAAGCCGTTTTTTTTGTTCTTGGTTTAAGTTGGGTTCGGTATAAGTGTCTCACTTTTTTATACTTTCCTTTGGAAAATATTTAAATGATCCTCAAAAAAAATAGTAAATTATCACTTAAAAAATAAAGTCGCCGAAAAAACTGAAAAGCAAAAAATAATAAACCTTTTAAAATCAAACTTCCCAACTCAAGTAATAAATGGGAACTAAGATCTATCAGACATGCAATCCACCGATTCCAAATATTAATTGGACTAAAGATAATTTTTTTTTCTTAAATAAAACAAGTTTCAATGGTAAAGATGCGCTGATTTATTTATTTCTACCGTTGAAACTTGTTTTATTTGATGAGTGGTGTGCGTGAAAACCTAAGAAACAAATACATTTTTTGCTTTTAATTTTATTTTGTTTTTTTTTTATTGTGGGTAGGTATTATTATTGTAATATTAATTGGACTAAAGATATTTTTTTTTATTAAATAAAACAAGTTTCAATGGTATAGATGCGCTGATTTATTTGTTTCTACCGTTGAAACTTGTTTTATTTGATGAGTGGTGTGCGTGAAAACCTAAGAAACAAATACATTTTTTGCTTTTAATTTTATTTTGTTTTTTTTTATTGTGGGTAGGTATTATTATTGTAATAGTCGGCATCAAAATCTGTGGGTAAACAATCACCCCTAATTTCCCACCCTTAGGATTAATGTTTTCAAATTTATCTGGAACAAACTTCGAGAAAACCCTATCCTTAAAAATATAATCATCAAAATCGAACTACTCTGTAAAAAGTTATGCGTGTTCATACATTATAATCAGTGGATAAACAGTCGTTCATCCCCTGTTTTCCTACCTTTAGGGCTTTATTATTTATTTAATATGGGACCAACTTCAGAGCAGCCTTTCCAATGAAAAAAGAATTATAAAACAAAATATATTTTTTGCCTTGAGAACCTCCTTCGTTTTTTTTCGTCGATTAAAAATACGATTGCTAACCTAAAGGTTAGCAATTGCATTTATTGAGGATCGATTACTATTTATTTGATGATCATTTAAATATGAGCTTTTTCTTTTTGCCTCATCTTACACTCTCAATAATATATTCAATCAACTTAACCATGCTTGTTTACTGTAAATTTGATTAATTATCCAACAAAGATTTTCTCTTCTATAATTAATAACTGCGTATGATAGTAATAATATATTTATTGGTGTGATAAATATTTTACAGTATACTTAATTAAATGTTATTGAGCACATAAAATTTTGAGTAACTTATATGCCCGAAGTAGGTTTATGAAAAAACCTGTATCTCACGCTCCAGTGTTCCTACCATTTGATAGATAACATTTTAACTATAGTGTGGTAGCATAAATTAACAACCTATCTATACATATAAAAATGTTATGTTGGTTTGTATACGCTTCAAAAACTCAAAAAGTTCTGCACCGATTGAGTTGAAATTTTAACATGATATAAAATCCGCATCAAGGATTGTTTTTATCTATTTTTTGCATCAGTCACATATCTGCGACCGCTAGAAAACAGTTTTTTTAACGATCAGCTGTGTACCAGTGACCGCGCCATCTGCCAGAAGCGAGGAAAACACTCGCTGACAACCACAATAGTAATGACGCAGTCACATGAGAAACAATTTCGTTCCCAATTACATTGTTTATTTACAAAAAAAATTGGATCTGATTCTGATTATTATACAATCTGAATTAAATATTCACTTAAATCAAGAATTTTTGGTGTGATAGTCTTGTGATCGAACTGCGCCTTTCACCAAATCGTAAGTAGAGGTTATATTTTTATATCAAAGATGGACAGTAAAAATATTATTTTTTTGCAATTATTATTTATTTAATATTAATTAATTAAATAAATATCTAAAATATTAGTTAAAGAATTAATCAATAACAAAACATATTTATTATGGAAGTGAATCTTTTTTAATAATCGTGTTCCCAGAGTCGGCAAACCAGATAGTCTTTATATCTACGCAGACAGTGGAAAAACAAAAAATATTGTATATCCACAAGTATTGCAAAATTAAACTTATATGAAAGTATTCTTTGTTTTGTTTCTCATTTCTCAACCATTCAATCACAATGTGCCACTGCAAAGCGTGGCAGGGTACAGCTAGTATTATATATTTTTTATAATTAGGGTACGGTACGGTAAGGATATTAAAAACATATTAAAAAAGGAAAATAAAAATAACCTTTAATGGTAAAATGTGTACTGTGAATCAGTGTGTACGAGTACGTCTCGTAACGTACTATCATTATTTCTTTCACAGAATACGTCGAATACTGTCGTCGACCAATAAAAAAAAACACTCGAAAAATGTTAGTCAATTTTAATTTCAACACAGGTTTTACCAAAAGCATGAACATTAACAAATTTGCGCTTTAATTCCTAAATTGACCGTTTTAGTTAAAAGCCACATCCGTCATGAATGAGCCAAGGAAAGTACCTAATGGCATCCCGTTTGTGTCTCATTATAAAGTTGACAGCGCTTACGGCTCTAATTAAAACTTCAACGGGTGGTTGTTGCGGTCGGAAGAAATATAAACAAGTCGTATGCGCAGATTCACTAAACCCTTTTTTGAACACTTGTGCCTTTAAAGAATATCATTTTAAGGCGAGTCCGTAAAGTTTGTGTTATGAATATTTAATCTTTTTTTGCCAGCTATTGTATACTGTGTTCAAAGAGATGCATTAAGGAACCTTATTGAGCATTTTTTCACCGTTTTCATCGTTTTCACAATTGATTGATCCCAAGACAACAACTATAATTATTTGGTAAGTTTGTAGGTTTTTAAGTTTGATGGCGGACTTGTTTAACTTTTTAATGTGGTCAAATGTCGTGTATTTAGTTTGTTGTTATAGGTTTCCTTAAAATATCATTAAATATACTGCTACTGTGATTTTTAAAGGCTTAATTAAAATGTAATCATCTTACTCATATTAGGCCACGTGTAAATTAATTATTAAAGGAAGTCCATAACATCGTATTATTGGGCCTTATTGTTATTTTTAAGGATATTTCTTATTTTTAAGAGATCATTTATTATTTTTATGGGTTCCATACCCAAAGAGTTAAAACGGGACCCTATTACTAAGACTCCACTGTCAGTCTGTCTGTCATCACCAGGCTGCATCTAATGAACCGTGATAGCTAGACGTAGACAGTTGAAAATTTCACAGATGATGTATTTCTATTGCCGCTATAACATAAAATACTAAAAACTGAATAAAATAAATATTTAATGGCGGTTCCTATACAACAGTCGTGATTTTTTAACTGTTCTTTGTTGAATATTATAATATAGTGCCTAATGTTGTTTAAATAATGGTACGGAACCCTTTGTGCGAGAGAACGACTCGCTCTTTATGTAACATCAACCACACCTTATTTAAAAAACACAATCAAGTAAATGTTCTAGAGTTTGCGTGCCAGAACACTGCAACGCCAACATGATTAAATTCTACATCCAAACGGGAGTTAAACAGGATATCTCCGTTGGCAGCCCAATTGTGTTATCCAGGGTACCCAGCGGTAATGAGGCCCCATCTTTTAGCGTCCTTTTTTGCTGCTCATAGAATTGAGTAAGCTGCGCTGAACACGCAAGTCATTTGGACGTGGGTAGACTTTGTTGGATCCGTCTAAATTTATCTTCTCAGTTAGCTCTGGTTAGTTGAAAATATTAGATATTTTGGATTTTTTTGTACGCTAATTATAACATGTATTCCTCCGAGCAAATATTTGTGCTGTTGGATAGTAGCAATTCTAGTTGTAATTTGCTCTCCTATATCAATCCGCTAAAAGACTCCTAAATTATTGGGAATAAATATTTATAAAAGCTTGATTTGGTTTCGAAACTACAATAACTTAGATCCGATTAATACTATAATAACTTCGTTGCAGCTATTAAGTGCTTTTTATACTGATCTATGTGAGAGATGCATTCAATGCATTGCCAAGTAATTTGCGATTATCTACCGAAACCCAGATTGTAGGGCGAATTTCAAATGTTTGTAAGTATTTGCCAAACACCAAAATAAAAATGTTCTGTTTCGACTACCTCCTTGCTGCATGCAGCTCTCAATTCTGCATTGTAATTCAAATTCGTAGTGAATTGTATCACTGTATTGCTTTGAAACAGTAATAGCACAGCTGCGGGATTATATAAAATTACGACCATACTTAAGCATTTACAAACTATTAAGTGCCTATGACTAAAATGTCAAAACTATCAAAACTTCTTATTCATTATTGCTGTGAGATATAAACCCATTAGTGTCATATTCTTAAAGTGGTCTGTCTAATAAAGAATAAACAGCGGAAAAAACGTTACCTCATGCATCATCGGCACAATCCTCTGTCACATTACTGAACTAAAGTGTTTATAAATCATTTAGCAGCATCGTTGTGGAGATTTTCGAAGCTATTAATCGTTGCAACTTACCTGTAACTTCTTCCATTGTATCCGTCCTATGCACCTGGTTGCGTTGCGCCACCCCAACTTAACTCCGAAATTTAACTCTGAACTTTTCAATTGATATGTTCCAGTTTCCTTTAACTCTTGCCTGACCTTTTCCAGTCGTGCACGATGCGAGTCTGTGTTTTCTCTGTAGAAAAATAAATGAATGTTTTAATACCAGTAATTCTTCGAGGAGCTCGATGGCGCGGATGGTTATCGCGTTCGGCTGCGATCGTTAAAGTTAAGCAACTTTCGCATTGGATGGGTGACCAAAAGTCTTCTATCTCGAGTTCCTCCATGCTTTGTAAGGCACGTTAAACCGTTGCTCTCGGCTGCATTTGCAGTCGTGAGCACCTGCCAATCAGCACTGGGCCCGCGTGGTGGGTCATGGCCCAATCTCCCTATTCCATCGATAGGGAAGGTCAGGAATTTATAGGTTTATGATGAAGATGACCAGTAATTCTTGATATTAGCGGGATTGTTACCATTTATTTTTTCGAATTTTCTCATAGAATATTCAAATGTTCAGTTATTCGTGATCATAGCGCTCGCAATAGTGCCGAAATATCGGGGACTCGCAAAATACAAGGTACATGGTAAAAATAGCGCTAATAACAAAAATTACTTTAATGTAGACCATGAAAATTTAAAACAATGCATAATATTCGGCTTAATTCGACTTGGAATAATTATTAAAGTAATTAGGGGCTTCTTTGTTTTCTTTTATGTTTTGTTCAATGCAAAGCGTGCTGCGTTTAAATTGAATAATACCTAAAAATGCAAGGTATGCAAATCGTTATGTCATTCTAATTTTGTTTTGGCATTCATAATGTTTTATGACTACCCAAGCAAGACTTTACGCACCTGTGAAAAGAGGCATAGTACTGTCCTAGGAATGATTTCGCGTCCTTGTACACCTCTTCTATTGTTCTTGGTGTGTCTCCTCTACTTGGAATGTCCATTACACTTGATTGGCAAAGCTTTTCTGTACATTTTGTATTCTGAAACAACAGAATTAAATCTTATAGGCATGATTTAGTAGGAGTATTTCATATTTCAATTTAATCGTGAAAACAAGACATTTATGATATTATTACTTATGTGATATTTGCTTTAACATTCTAGTTAGTATCTGTCAAAATATGTTGCAAATCAACCTCAACACATACTGCTGCTGTGACATAGTATGTATGACGCCGTTTAATAAATAATGAGGTTGTTACATCATCCGGTTGAGATGATGGTGAATCATGCTTTGAGAGATACCGAAAAAGATGTGATAAAAAATGATACAAATGCATGGCTAACTGTTGTCTACTACATCCGGGAGTTAATAGTGATCTGCTTAAGTATTATCGATAGGTTTAATGATAAAGATTTTTTGCTACAAAAGCAGCTTCTGATCATATTCGACAAAAGAGTTTAATGCCGTTTTAAATGTGTAAAGTATTCTATTAACTGTCGAAGTTGCTGACGTCATGGGTATTTTTTGGATTAAAATGTATTCGGATATAACACTATATTTAGATATATATGAAAAATAAGTTTTAACCAGATATCATAAATCTGACCTTGAAATAAGACACGTATTTTAAAATTTTAAATCTTCAGAAAATATATATTGTTATAGGTTTTTATATAATCATCAATTCCAAGGAATTGCAGGATCTAATTAAACCCATCTGTAGCGTTTCTGAAACATTAGATCAAACATCACATATAAGAGTATAATAAAGATGAGAAAACAATGTAAACCCTATGATTAATCAATTATTAGTTTATGTATATCTTAAATTTAGGATGTTGAACTCATGTAACTGTAAACTATGAGAATAAGAACAATAGATCCCACAGACGATAGTACATCAGCGAATCGAATGATGAAACATCTGATATCAATTCAAAATGATTATTCTAGTGGTGTTTTATCTAAAATCTGACAATCAAAATTGCATAAATATACCTAAAATATCTGACGCGCTTTTATCAAGCTAAATAGCGTCAGTTATTTTTAACAGATTAGATAGTTTTTTTGGAATAATATTGCTCGCCAATAGCAGGAAGAACAATAACGCGCATATCTATTTGTATTTTTGAAAAATACTTTTATTTATTAACAAATAAGACTGAAATATGTATGGAAGGTAATTGCGGTTGTCTCATATCCTCTATGCAGATGTTAATTCCACTCTTTCGTCAGAAGACAACGTCATCTTACAGATCCTGCTCATGGTAACAATGGTCAATTATCACTATTATTTTCTGCGAAATCCATATCAATGACTTCGGTGTATTCCGTTTGCGCAGCCCTAATTACCCGCTACCAGCCACTGCCATTGCAAGCCGTTTATGGATTCATCCACACTATATAAGATGCTCAGTACCGTCTATAGTATAGATTTTATAATAATAATCCTCACAGGACATACATGACATTAAACATGACAGTGTAAACGTACACAATAGGCGGCCTTATTGCTAAATAGCAATCTCTTCCAGGCAAACCACGACAGTGAAATAAATAAATAACAGGAACAAGAAGGGGGTGTAACAGGTATAGTCGATAAAAAATGAATAAAAAATGCAATAGATATATCCAAGGGAGAGGTAACATTTAAAGTTGGGAAAGAAGATAACCCCTAACTTGATTACTAAACAATTTACGTCTTAGAGACCCTAAAGATGGTAAACAGATAATAATTTTGACTACTTTATTTTTTCGTTTTCATTTTACTATAAATACACCAAAAACTCTGATAAGATCCGATTAAAAACAGTGAGGTTTCCAGGATTCTAATCCGTGTAGGTATACAACTGTTACAATTTCCTGAATTCCAAGCAGTCTAGGTATAATCATTGGTAAACAAGGCAACGAATGGTATTTGTATCGCTTATTAAAATACGACAAAATATCAAATACTAGTGGCCGCGTACGACTCCATCCGCAATTTTTTGAAATGAAAGAGACAAACGATACTTTTTAACGTATCGAACTTTTTCTTATTTAACGAAAGTTAACACTTTTCCGTGCGTAAAAATTTCATCCCAATCCTATGCAGTTTTTGCGTGACTGAGTAATAAAGTTATAAACTTTCATATTAATAATATTTGTGTAAAATATAGAAACTGAGTATGCATTGTGCTTGGAACTTGTAAGAAACATTAAGTTTTTTTCTAAGTCTTACAGTTAAAGCAGAGGTACTAAGCTCCGCTACAACGGAGTTGAAACCAGTAATCAAACCTGTGTAAATCAGTATGTTACACTTGTCCACAATGAATTGAGATGTGAACGGAGATTAAACGAACCACTCACGACCCGCGGGGAAACTGATTAATAGATGAAAAGGAATTGTTCATTGAGATTAATTAATAACGAACTTCAATTTATAATTACAAGGTCTTTTAACATTTAATTCGTTGGAAATTATAACTTCCTTATTTAGAGCGTGAAAAGCTTTGTTAAAGATAAGTCAAAAGCTATGCTAGGCTATTGCATAGCCATCTTATCCTAGACAGAGTAGCACACTACGATAGTATGCAACTGACTGTATGTATATTAGGATTACTCACTTAACGAGAAGCTGCGCTTTTTAGTGCGGCTTTAGTAATCATTATTGCCGGTTAGTTTCTAAGAACAGTAACCTCAGCAGGAACCAATATCTAATTCAAATAGTTGAATTCGATCTCACGCGTTAAATGACAAGAAGTTTTGTATGGAAATTTTATATTTGCCATTACGTCTGTTGTGGCGTTGTTAAAATTTTGACATTTGACGCATATCGAGAACTTCAACTTCAACTCTTCGAATTCTATAATGGTTCACGCTAAGGGTACACAACACAAGTAACAGTATTTTATAGTATTCTACTAACTTTGATAACATGCAGGATTATCAGTGTGGATCGGAGCTACTTCAAAGAAAAAAAAACTACGCTAGCTACTTCAGCAAAAAGTACTGTATAATAATATAGTTTAGGGAATTCTCCGCTTCGGCTTAAGCTACTGCGGTTATAACGTTACACGCAGTAAAAAAAAATGTGTACAAAAACCTCACGACAAAACCCGTGGGTTATACGGGGTTAGTCAGTAGTGAAAAACAACACGTGTTGAATTTATCATCAAAAAATAGTAACTAATCCTATAAAAATACATCAGGTTTAAGAATACCTAGTTGCATTCACTTTTATGAGAATTTATACTAAATAACATTAATGGTTACGTGCATCCTCTTTTGATGGAATGTGAGCGGAATCAGGTTCAAAGAAACAAGTTTATATCAAAATTTCAAATAAATAAGTTGGATATAGGGATTGTTCAAAGTGTTCTGAGCAACCCCGAATCAGAAGCCGCATTGTACTTGTGTAGTTTAGTGGAATGCTGTCAGTAAATTACACAAGTATGAAATCTAATGTAATAATTTTACAATTCTTAATTAATTAGTTCAGTACTTTTTCGATGTGTTTCGATGTTATTTTGTTTCGATGGAGCTGCCATGTCATCAAAAAAGGATAAAAAAAAGAAAAAAAAATAATGGTTTGGACTAATTGTATAAATAAAAGTATAGTGGGTAGTTGTCAAACGTTGGCTCGCTTTCGTGTTAGTCCACGGCCCGTCGCCTACGCCCGGCAAGTACACCGATACTACACGGAATTTACGAATACTGGATGTGGTTCACTAGTAAATAACAAGTAAACTACTTTCAGTAATTTAGTAATTTACACAAAAATGAAAAGTTTTACTGTTTGATAGTAACAGCCAAAATTTGAACGTTATGTTCAATCATTTACGTGGGACACTCAGAAAGTTTTGAGAATCTAACTTTTATGAAAAATAAATATTTTTATTAAATCTTTTCAAAGAACTCTCCACCAGCCTCTATTCAAAGTTTCATGCGTGCGGAGCCCGGTGTTAGGTCGATTGGCTGGCAGGCATTTGTGTGTGTGCCTACTATGCGGCGTTGATGCTGCTTTGGTCTCGAAGTGGGATTGAAATTATGTACCTCGTCAAAGTGAAGAAACTGGCGATCAAAATTTTACCTGCGCTCCGCGATCGCTTCCCTTTCGTAGGCGTCGGTTCATTTTGAAACAGCCAAACTGTCGACTGACATTTTGTTTCTGGATCGTAGTGATAAATCCAGGATTCGTTCGATCCAATGTGTGGCTTCACAATGGAATTATATATTGTATACCGAACAGAAAGTGAGAAACAGCGCACTATACACTTTAACATACCTCTGAGGGATATAAGCTTGAATTTGACTTTCTGAATATTATGTGGTACGCATGTTAGTTTACTACATATATTAGTAACCTAACCTTCAGGTTGCCAATTGTATTGTCAGGTGATCATTTCAATATTACCTGATAAAACAGCAGCAACAAACTTAGCTCTATTTTTTTTATAGCGAGGTAGGCAAGTGACTCCAATTCACCTGATTTTAAGTGGTGACGAAGTCCAAACGCGAAGATTACTGGTACAGCAGTTATAAACTGCTACACCACCACCCTCACCTTGCCAGCCTGCAAAAATGCTTCTTCACACCTCTCTTAAAAGATCCCAGATTGTAGGAAGAAGGGAACACGTGCGCGGGCAAAGAATTCCACTTTCGAATAGTGCGACAAAGAAATGAGTAACCAAATTTCTTTGTTCGTGTAGGAATAGTGGACACAGTAAGTCGGTGGCAACGTAGGCCACCTAATGTGATAACTAGCAGCAGCAGTACACCGAAATACGAATTCAAACTGATAGACAAACACAAAAAAAATTGGTTCGGCGTCTATTTGGCGCAACGGCTTCACAGCCTAACATTGTTGTTTTTAAACAACTTAGACATGGAAAATATGTATGTCTAAAAGAGTCATATTATTATTTTCTTACCAACTTTTAAGTAGCTTCAGTACACAGCTTGACTAAAGAGGTAACATCATCAAACCGCGAGGATTACTAACAAAACTCCGAAATCCATTAGCTTCACTGTTTGCACAACGTCATGCGACAGCCG